TGGAATTTTAAAAATCCAAGCACCGAATAACTGGTAAGAAATACACGTTTAAAGTTACTCAGAGAGGATCGATTCAAGATGGCTGACCACTAACAGCTCAGGATTGTAGCTCCCAGTGAAAGCCCAGAGAACGAGACGACGCCACACTTTTAGACGAATTTTCGTCACTCACTGATCAGCCGATTCCCAGTGGAGGAGCCCCACAGGTCGCCAGCGCGACTCTTGTGGCCGCCGCAGCAGTTTTGCCAGCGTCTCAGCACAGCAGCTCTTCATGCAGAGCCAACGGGACTGCTTCCCCTACTGACCGGAGTTTGGAGCTCCAGGAAGTCAGAGCCGCTTGTTGCGGACTCAAGAGGGAAGCCAGACCAGAGATTCCCGGGCAGAAGAGCACCATCAGTCTTATCGCTGCTATTTAGGCTGCCACAGTGGGTTGCTCGGATCCCAGCACTGGGAATCAATAAGTCGGACATCGACTCAGAAACCTAATTAGAAAGGCAGTTCATCTACAATGAAGGGGAAAAAACAGCCTAAGAAGGCCGAGTATACTCAAAATCAGAACCCATCAGCAACGGAACAAGCCCTGATGGAAAAGGACTCATCAGCAACCAAACAAGCCCTGATGGAAAAGGACTCATCAGTAACGGAACAAGCCCTGATGGAAAAGGACTGTGTTCCATTATCTGAAGTAGGCTTTAAAAGGTGGATGATAAGAAACTTCTGGGAGTTAAAGGAACTTGTTCTAACCCAATGTAAAGAAACTAAGAACTTGGAAAAAAGGTTCGATGAAATGTTGAAAAGAATAGACAATATAGAGAGGAATACAAATGAACTTATGGAGTTGAAAAATACAACACGAGAACTTAGTGAAATATGTACAAGCTTAAACAGCCGAATGGATCAAGCAGAAGAAAGGATATCAGAGGTCGAAGACCAACTTAATGAAACAAAACGACAAGACAAGAATAGAGAAAAAAGGATAAAAAGGAATGAGCAAAGTCTCCAAGCAATATGGGACTATGTGAAAAGACCTAATATACGCTTGATTGGTGTACCTGAATGTGATGGAGAGAATGAATTCAAGCTGGAAAATACTCTCCAGGACATTATCCAGGAAAATTTTCCTAATTTAGCAAAGCAGGACACTATTCAACCCCAGGCAATACAGAGAACACCACAAAGATATTCCTCAAGAAGACCAACCCCAAGGCACATAATCGTTAGATTCACCAAGATCGAATCGAAGGAGAAAATATTAAGGGCAGCCAGAGAGAAAGATCAAGTTACCCATAAAGGGAAGCCTATTAGGCTTACAGCAGATCTCTCAACGGAAACCCTACAAGCTAGAAGAGAGTGGGGACCAATATTCAATATACTTAATCAACAGAACTTTCAGCCCAGAATTTCATATCCTGCCAATTTAAGCTTTACATTTGAAGGAAAAATAAAATCTTTTAGGAACAAGCAAGTACTCAGAGATTTTATTACCACCAGGCCTGCTTTACAAGAACTTCTAAAAGAAGCATTATACACAGAAAGGAACAACCAGTATGACCCTCTCTAAAAATACACCAAAAAGTAAAGAGCATTAACATAAAGAAGAATTTTTATCAACAAAAGGACAAAATAGCCAGTTAATATCAAACGGCAGCAACCCTAAATTTAAATCGACCAAATCTCCCAATCAAAAGATACAGACAAAATCTAACGGTATATCCAAAGATATACATAGACTCAAAATAAAGGGTTGGAAAAAAAAAAAACGTACCAACCAAATGGAGAGCAAAAATAAATAAATAAAAAGCAGGAGTTGCAATTTTCACATTTGACAAAATAGATTTCAAAGCTACAAGGATACAAGGGTAAAAGGATTAATGTAATAATAAGAGATCTTAACACCCAGATACATAAGACCCAAAATGAGATTTAGATTAAACGAGACAGAAAATTGATAACGATATCTGGGACTGGAACTAAGATCCAGAACAAATAAACTCAATAGAGCTCTCCATTTTAAACACACAAAATATACATTATCCACAAAATCTAACGATATATCTAAAGATATACAAAGACTCAAGGGGATGGAAAAAAACTCACCAACCAAATGGAGAGCAAAAATAAATAAATAAAAAGCAGGAGTTGCAATTCTCACACTTAATAAAATAGATTTCAAAGCTACAAGGATGCAAGGGTAAAAGGATTAATGCAACAATAAGAGATCTTAACACCCAGATACATAAGACACATAATGAGATTTAGATTCAACGAGACAACAAATTGATAACGATATCCAGTACTTGAACTCAGAGCCAGAACAAATAAACACAATAGAGGTCTCCATTTTAAACACATAAAATATGCATTAACACTTTAAACACTCAAAATATTGATCGGCCATTATTGAAACCCATTTTAGGAATGAAGTAATATTCCTTTTTCCCTCTTTTTCTTTTTTTCCCCTTATTTTTCTCTTCTTCCCTCAAAAAAAAAAAAAAAAATCAGTAAATCCAGGAGCTGGTTTTTTGAAAAGGTCAACAAAACAGATAGACTGTAAAAAAAACAAAAAAAAAACTATACTTTAGGCCATAAGGAATTGGCTGGGTTTTTTTTAAAAAATAAATAAATAAATAAATAAATTAAATAAAGTTACTCAGAATATAAGGCATTTTAAAAAGAAGCAAATGTTAACCCAAGGAAATCAAGTACAGTAATATTAAGAGCAAATAAAGTATATTTAAAACCCAAACCCCTCAAACATTAAACAGGGCAAAAGACAATATATTTCAGAGTGTTAAAGATTTAGCCCACTAGGAATTTGTAACATACATTTTATGTAACATAGAAACAAAAAGAGAAATTGACACATTCACAGTCATTGCAAGAAAATTTAATGCTTTTCTCTCAAAAATTATCACACAAGTAGGAGTGAAATAATGAGTATTTGAATAATGCAACTCACAGTTGTGATCACTTATATAGAGACCAAGACAGAACGAGTCAGAATGTCCGAGTTTCATTAGTGCTCTGTGGTTTACCTGCTATGGTAACTTTGAGGAAGTTACCTAAACTCCCCAATCTTATTTCCTCATCTGTAAAATGGGCTAATAGGAGTACCTATTTCACAGGGTAAGGACTGAAAAAAGAATTTATGTGGAGTAATTAACAGAGATCCTAACATAAATAAGGGAATGTGCATTCTTTTCAAATGTGAACATTTACAAATTACATAAACAGCACAAAAAAAAGTATCAATAGAATTTTAAAAGTCAAAATAATAGAAGCCACAGTCTCTGACCACAGTGCAGTAAATTTGGAAGCTAAAAGCAAAAGGTGAGGTGAGCAACCAGCGAAAGCAAATCCACCCGGGAAGTCTTAAACACGTTTAAATGAGCTTTCTAGATAAAAAAGAAATCAAAGTTGAAGGAACGAACAAATTAGAAGTGAAAGACGGTGAGCGGTTGTTCACATCAAAACCAGTGGGATTTAGACAAAACCAGCACGGAGGAAATGCCACTACTGACATGTGAAAAGCAGGGAAGAATGAAAATAAGTGAACTAAATTGGCGACATAAAAGCTAGACAAGGGACAAGAAAGTAAACCCAACTCTAATAAAGTAAAATGAAGGCCGGGCGCGGTGGCTCAAGCCTGTAATCCCAGCACTTTGGGAGGCTGAGGTGGGTGGATCACGAGGTCGAGAGATCGAGACCATCCTGGTCAACACGGTGAAACCCCGTCTCTACTAAAATACAAAAAATTAGCTGGGCGTGGTGGCGCGTGCCTGTAATCCCAGCTACTCAGGAAACTGAGGCAGGAGAATTGCCTGAACCCAGGAGGCGGAGGTTGCGGTGAGCCGAGATCGCACCATTGCACTCTGGCCTGGGTAACGAGCGAAACTCCGTCTCAAAAAAAAAAAAAAGTAAAATGAAGGTATATTAAAGACAAAGCATACCAGGACATGGAAAAAATAGTGATAACAAAAGTATTCCACATTAGCAAAAATCAAAGGCTGTTTTTTTTGTCCAAAAAAAAAAATAGACAAACCTAGAGCAAGCTTCATGATACCAAAAAGCACTAGAAGTACTTTTTATAAAACAAAAACCATACTTTATGGAGATGTAAAAATTACAGTATCTTTTGAGCTGGGCATGCCAACTGTAATCCCAGCACTTTGGGAGGCTAAGGAAAGAAGAGCCTTGAGCCCAGGAGTTCAAGACCAGCCTAGACAAGGAAGTAAGACCCCATCTCCACAGAAAATGAAAAACAAATTAGCCAGGCCTGGGGCACATGCCTGTGGTTCCAGCTACTTGGGAGGCTGAGGTGGGAGATCCGGTCAAGGCTGCTGTGAGCCATGTTCACACCACTGTACTCCAGCCTGGTTGATAGACCCTGGCTCAAAAAAAAAAATCTTTCCACGATTTTATTCATACAAAGATATAAAATCTTAATAAAATATGCATGAGGTTAAAAAAAGTCCAACTAGACTGATTATCTTGGAAAAAAAAATGTAAAATTAGGCAAAGATCTATACCTTAAAAAAATCACAGACCCGGATAGCTATATAGGCAGGTTCTAGTAAGCTTTCAAGAAATGTGTAATTCCTATGTTATATAAGCTGTTCAAGAGAGTGGAAAAGATAAGCAACTCATTCTAGAAAACTAATAAAATCCTAGTACAGAAACCAGAAATGGAGAGTGGGCACACTCACAGATATAGAAAGCACTAAGCAAAACTCACTTTGAAGACAGATACCAAAGTTTTGAATAAATTGCAAATTGATTCTTATTAGAAGAATAATATATTCTTCTGTATTCTTCCTGGACATAATCCAAGAATGGTAAGTTGGTTCTCCCTGAGGAAACTGATTAATATAATCATTATATATTATTATTAATATTAAAAGGATTAAATGAAAAATAACCAAATGATGATCTTGATAAGGGCTTTTCAAAAGTTAAAAATTAAATTCAACATTTATTTATGGTTTTTATTACATTTCCAGTAAGGAAGGCATAGAAGGAGGCTTCCTCAGCTTGACAAAGCCCCTTGGCCAGAAACCTAGAGGAAACTTGGACCGAAGTGAGGAACGAGCACGAGTCCCCTGCTCATTAGTTGCATTGGAATCATAACCTTTCTTCAGAAAAAAGAAAGTATCCCTATTGTGAAAATTGTTACTGTCTCCCCCCCCACCCCGCCCCTGCCGCGCCCCCCAAAAAAGGTAATCAACTGATTGGCTCTGAGGACTTGTGAATACAGGAGGTAAGAGATGAAGCTGACTGTAAGCTCCCTGATCTTCACACACACACCCACCAGCTGAGGGGGAAATGCTTCCGAGATCCAGATGGTTACATGTAGCTTCTGACCAGTCATTGGCTGATCACTGAGCTGTTACAAAACCAGGCTTAAAAATGAAAACAAGCGAGAGAGAGATACATAGGCAACATATAGTTTGCCAGCGGAAACATGAGAGGCTGCACACTCCAGGGAAAACAGACTCCAAAGAATTCATCCAGACCAGTCACTAAACAAACAAAACCAAAATAGTAACAACTACCCCCCAGTGGGAGGGGTAAGAATCCAGCATTGCTACAATATATTATCTAAAATGTCCAATCTAAACTCTCTCTCTCTCTCTCTCTCTCTCTCTCTCTCTCTCTCTCTCTGCATATATCATGTATATATCTCATGTTCCATACAGGAACAAAAAAAAGTAGTTAATAAAAATTGTCTCTGAAGAACCCAGATGTAGGACTTAACAGAGACTTGAAAGCGGCTATTATAAATGTTTAAAGAACTAAAATCAGGTTCAAATAATTAAGGTATGACAACAGTGATTCATCAAGTAGAGAATATCCGTAATATCAATGAATGAATTAAAATAGGTGGAAATTAAATAAATGAAAAATAAAATAGATGGAAATTATAAAAAGAAGAAAGAGGGAATTTTGGAATTGAAAGTAAAACACAGTGCCGGGTGCGACGGCTCATGCCTATAATCCCAGCACTTTGGGAGGCCTGAGGTCAGGAGGCGGAGACCAGCCTGACCAACATGGTGAAACCCTGTCTCTACAAGAAATACAAAAATTAGCTGGGAGTGGTGGCGGGCACCTCAAATTCCAGCTACCCAGGAGGCTGAGGCAGGAGAATCCCTTCAACCTGGGAGACTGAGGTTGCAGTGAGCTGAGATACACCACGGCACTCCAGCCTGGATGACAGAGCAAGACTCTGTCATAAAAAATAAAAGTAAGTAAAACAGCTGACTGGGTGCAGTGGCTCATGCCTGTAATGCCAGCACTTTGGGAGGCCAAGGCAGATGGATCACCTGAGGTCAGGAGTTCAAGACCAGCCTGGCCACATGGCGAAACCCCATCTCTACAAAAACTACAAATAGTTACCCAGGAGTGGTAATCAGAGCAATGCAAACTTAAAATGAGGTTTTTCTTCTCATTAAACTGGCAAAAATCTAAAAAACTTTTAAGATCCATTGTTGGTTAAGATGAAGAGAAATGAGCACTTTCAAATACTGCTGGTATGAAAGGCAATTTGACAGTAACTGACAAAATTTGCAATATGAATACCAACAATTCCACTTTTAGGAATCTGTCCCAAAAGCTTCACGTAATGTATCCAGGAGAAACTTCTAATTTTGTGATAGGAGGTATATATTCTCATGGTTCTCAGCATAAATGTTGACTTCTCCTGTTTGGTGAAGTAGAACATAACTTTAATAATGCTCCCTTAGGATCCTGAGATAAAGCTGATAGATTCAGACCAAAAAGTAATGAATTCTTACTAACTTATTACAGATGGGTATAGTGCAGAGGCACTGTATCAAGTACATTACAAGAACAAAGTCATTCAATCTTCATGATAATTTTGTGAGGAAATCGAGGCAAGGAAGAGTTAGAGGGAAGGCCAAGGTAAATTGGTAAGCGGCTAAGTTAATGTTCACTCTTGACAGTAGGGCTCACTGTGAAATAGGAGTTCAGCAGGATTTGTTTCTCAAGACAGGTCACCGAGACCCTGCTGCTAACGCAGGATGTGGTAGAGTAGCCAGCTGAAGCCAGCCAGAACCAAGATGGCGACACTCATGATAATTCACCAGCACCATGGCAATTTACAGATGCCATGGTAACTCCTTGCCAACTCCTAGAAGTTACTCTATATGATCTAAAAGAGAAAGAGCCTGGGTTCTGTAATTCCCAGCCCCTCTCCTGTAAACCTCACGAATAATCCACCCCTTGTTTAGCATTTAATCAAGAAACAGCCATTAAAATAGCCGAGCAGCAGCCCTTGAAGCTCTGCTACCAATGGGGTGACCACCTTTTATTTCTTCACTTTTTTAAATAAACTTGCGTTCACTTTACTCTCTGGACTTGCTCTTGAATTCTTTCCTTTAAGAAGCCAAAACACGCAGGCCCTCCCAGGCCAAACCCCGATTTGCGGGTTCACCCTGCCACAACTATACAGTATGGGGTCACGGGGAACCGCTGGTCCTTTGAAGCCTCACTGAAAAATCAACTCAGAAAAGGCAGATAATGGGAGAAAAGGCACACAGATTTGTTTAACTTGTATATACAGGAGCCTTCAGGATGCAGACCCCACCCCACAGTAAGGTACAGGAGCCTTCAGGATGAAGACCCCACCCCGCAGTAAGGAACAGAAGCTTATATATCATCTCGAGGTTATGGAAAGATGCAGGCTCAGAGAATGGCCACAACCAGGTTTTCATGGCAAGACATGTTATGGGGGAGAGAAAGAAAGAGGCGTGGCTAGCAAGGTGGCGGTGTTGTGTAGATGAAGCCTCCCAGGTCCTAACCCCTAGAGAGAATAGATGGCGAATTTTTTTTTCAGACTTGTAAAGGTGTCAGACTCAATCTATCCTAGATCTCGGAAAGGCCTAGAAAGAGAAGGCCTGGCTGCGTTCATGGAGATTCTCTACAGATGCAAAATTTCGCCACAAGAGACAGCTTTGCAAGTCCACTTCTGTCTGCTGGCCGTGCAGCAGCCATTTCAAACTGTGTCAAAGAAATCTGTTTTGGGGTAAAACATTTTTTACTTCCTTCAGCAGCCACGTGCAGGGACTTGCGCCCTCATTTTGTGTGGGTGCCTAGCTGTCCAGCAGCTTAGCACTACCTGGAAGTTGAGGCGTGGTCGCAGAACGGAGGCGCCACCCAGGGCTGCCGAGTCAGAGCCTTCACTTCAGCAAGATCCCCGGGGATTCCTTTGTCTGTTCATAATTAAGAAGCCTCATACTTAAACTCTGCTCTCCCATTTGCTTATCTGTAATCTGCTGATGACAGTCCTCACCACAAGAGGCTGTGGTGGGGATTTTTTAATCCACGTGTTCATTCTTTCAACAAATACTTTGCACCCAGCATATGCTAAACACCTACTGCAGAGAGGGAAGCAGACAAGAAGTAATTTCCAGGCCTCATGTAGCTTACGTTCTAGTGGGGAAAGACACATAATAAGTAAAGCATATAGTTTGTTACATGATGATAAATGATACGGAGAAAAATTTTAAAAGCAAGAGAATAGGGTTTGGGAAAGGTTACGATTTTAAATGGAGTGGTCAGGGACAGTATCACCGAGACTTTTATTCAGAAGTGGCAGGGACCAAAGCTATCCTACGGGAATTTGCAATGAGATCTTCTTTGCCCATGAAGTCCTTGCCAAGTCTGTCTTGGTCTTTCCTGAGAATTCTCTCCCCCTTGATTTTAGCCCTAATTAATTTCCGACCTTTGAAATGCCAGCCCCCGTACTGCCCTTACATGGGGTTCAGACTGGACATCCAGAAGTCTCCGTGTGTGTTCTCGTTAGCTTTCAGTCCGGGGGGGGTTTCTGCCGCAGTGTGAATCACTTATTTTGCTGGCAACAGCAGTTGACAGTGGCACTCATTTTTAAAGCCTGCACATTTTGTATCAGAAAAGTCCTGGATGTTATGACTTGGCTGTGCTTGGAGGATAATTGCAACAGGAAGTCTCCCCTTTAGCCAGCTTATTGGAGCTGAGACTTGTGTAAGAGTCAGGCCTGGCACTTTAAACAGCCCAGCAAGTAACCTAAACCAAGCTGAATGACGCACATTTTTCTCTCTGCTGGTCTTCCCCATCATGAACACATACTTCTTTTTTCCCCTCCTTCACCCTCAGTTTTTCTATAGAAATTCAAGGGCTGACTGTACCAAGCTAGCTCTCTGGGCGAGAGGTTTCTTCTAACAAGGATTAGAAACCTCTCTCCCGTAGAAGGAGGTGGATTTGGGGGATTATGTGATCCAACCCTCTACCTTCGGACAGAATACAATCAAGATGTCTCCCCGGGACAACAACTGCTTTTCCGGCAAGTTCTCTTTGTTAAGCCATGCTGGCGTTCCTCAAATCCCTTGTTCTGACTGTCTGCAGTTCTCCATGCTCCATCACCCTTTTTTAGCTAAGAAAAGCAATTGCCTCCTTCCCTCTTGTAGAGAAGTTGAGCCACTACCTTGACTTCCCCCTTCTCTTCCAAAAAACGTTGCAATTCCTTTAATTATCTTTCCCATCCTAGGGTGTCCTCTCCACACTCACCATATTCTCCAGATAAAAATTCAAAACTGAGCAAGACCTGTGCCTTTCCATCCAACCCTCCTCATCGAAAACTGTTATTACTCAGGCAGCAAAGACCTGCTTTACCGTCTGAGGCCTTTGGTCCTAGTAATTTCTCTCACCAGCTTCTAGTCCTAATAATTTCTATGTGTTAATGCTCAGAAACACTCCTGAGACTCTCAGTGAAAAAATCACGGGAATCCTAATGGCCAAAACCTCGTGTTACCTCCAACCCTTCTTTCCAGGCCATTTTCTCCTGTAGCCCCTCGCCCCTGACTTGTCTTCCAGCTTCTGTGGACCATGAAGGCTGCCGAAGGGTCTCACTATGCACTTCCCTGGGCCGCCAGCCCTTGCCAATGGCTTCTCCCTCCCTTCTGGCTGTGGAGAGCTCACTCATTCTTCAAGACCCAGTTCATATGTCCTCTCTGTCAAGCCCTCCCAGATGCCTTTGCAGATGGCCTGCCTCAGGCCCTTTGCACCTGCCTCTGCTGAGAACACTGTTGCCTCCAATCTTTGCGTAGATGGCTCCTCCTCATTATGCAGGTGTGAGCCCAGAGTTCACCTTCTCAATGAGTCTTCCCTGAACACTTAAATTGCAAAACCCCATTACACTCTGTCCCATTTGTATGTTGTTTTGTTCATAGCACTAATCACTATGTGAAATTACTCTTTCATTGACAGTCTTCTTCCAGGAGATTAAAAATACCATGAGAATAAAGGGCAAGATCCTTATTTTCTGTGTGTCCCCAAATTTGGTGCCCAGACCATAGCCAGTGCTCAGATAAATGAAAGAAATGGCTGCAGCTTCCACTCTGTTCGTGGCACCCTCAGACACACAGTCGCCCCTTCTATCTGCTGGGGACCGTCTCCAGGACATCCTCCCATCTCTACTTGAGATCCCCCAGTAGAAATATATTGACAAATTTCCTTTCACACATGCAGAGGTTGCCTCAATTTCAATGTGAGAATAAGAAGGTGAAATTTTGAACTAAGAGATGGAATCACTTATCAGAAACGAAGGCTTCTCAGAGTAAATGTAAACTCTACGAACTTTGGTCAGTAATGTGAACACATTTCCTCCGCCATGAGCTTCTCCCTCACACACAGACACTGCTGATCTCAGTCATGGCCCCAAAGTTTCTTTTCTTTTGATTTTGCGTTTTCTTCTTTCTGCACATGTATGAATGCAAGCTGAATAGTCAGGTTCCTGAAATGGGTCAGGATTAGGTTTTCCTTAAATCTTTTTCTCAACAGAAGCCAAACACTTGAAAGAAGGGAGATGGCTGATTGAATTCTGGAACAAGAGTTACGTTCCTAGGCTCTTGGTTCATTTGAGCTTGGCTAGAGGGAAATACTGTGTGCTTCTGTGCACAAGTTACACTCAACACACGCCCTCTGGAAGCGGGGGTAAGCTTCAGCTCGGGCTGTCCGTGCACAGTGTGGTTCAGAGGCTGCCCTTTAACCTGTGTGGCCAGAGAGAATAAATCAAGCCAGCAGTGCTGTCTCCCTGCTGACTGAAGGCGCCCGGCCTTATCAGGGAGCCCCAATGTCTTGTGCTTGCAGCTGCTGTGACATGTGGAAGCATTAACGCTTCATTGCCAGCCCGTGGGCCGGTTGAATGCCGACGTGTAGGTGCCTGGTGTTTTCTGGTCTGCTACATGAATAGGCGTTAAAAGTTGGTGATTAGGAGTTTGCTTGCGTTCATTCCTTAAAAGCAACATGATACAGAGCCCTGCCATGGCGGGGGTGATGGGTTGTTACCAAAGTTGGTAACAGGAAGTCTTACTGAGGATAAACAGAGCTCATCCGCCACTGCCGAGAAACACATGGTTCTCATTTAACCTGCCAAGGACTAATGGTGTATGCTTCGGAAGCACAAAAACAGGAAATCACTTTTCTGACACACGCCCCAAGTTTCTTCAGACCAAAAGGAACGCCTGAACGTTGTTAGACGCTGAGAAGTAATGATCTCCCCAGCTGTCACTGAGCCAATCTCACTTACTTCTCTTTAATCTAAATTTATGACCTAAAGCGTATTTCAGGCCTCCCATGAAGTCCTTGAAACTTGAGACTTAATGAATGACACCGAGGTTTCACTTTTCACTGCTCTGGTGTGTGTACGCTCAGAAAAGTAGTGGAAGAGGTTAGACACGTGGTGATGCAGGAATCATGGCATCCAGAAAATGAGCATCATTTGCCGTTTGATAAAAGGGAGCTAATAAAGCAATAGATGCAGGAAATGCAGAGACAGCGCAGTGAATCAAGAGGTGTGCTGCCCTAGCTTTTAACAGAAGATGGGTCTGAGCTTCATTCTTTACCTTAAGATGGGTCCAAGAGCTACAACTGATATTTAAACAAGTAGATACAATTCCAAGGACCATATTGTGTCTCATATGGGGGCTACTGACTCACTTATTACCCAAATCCACAGACCATTCTGCTTCCAAAATATTATCTGTGGAAGGAAAATATTTTTGGTATGCATATCAAGTGCTCAGATAACATATTTATGTATTGCTTTTTCACGAAAGAGAATCTGACTGCATCTGGAAATTCTTTTGTGTCACTGCCTCTCTGAGACTACTTCCCATCTGTATCGCTTTAACTCCAATAAAAGGCCATCCCCATGCCTGGGAAATGAGCTTCGTCTGGGGAACATGTCTTTCTCTGATTACATGTAAATTAATTAAAGGCCATCCCATTTTACAGGGCAGCCTGGTGGTGGCGGTCTGCACTCTTGACTTTCCAGCATGTTGGCCTGTCACACGCAAAGGAAGAGGGGGGAAGGGAGGATGCAGGGGCATTGTTTCAGCCAAACCCTAAAGCAGATGGAAGTGAAGTCCACTGAATTTTATCATGAGAAGGGAAATCGTTCATGAAATAATGGCAGCCTCACAGAGAAGTCAGAATTGTGCAATGGAGTACACGCTCCCTTTCCTCTGAAACATTGGTCTGGAGGCTTTGCCCCTTTATTTTCTGTTTCAGGTTTGGTCTCAGTAACACCCTGACCTTTTCAGACCCCATACCACTTTTGCAGGGATGGCTGCCTTAAAGAGATGGGGAAAGGGTTGGAAAAACATGTATTTTATTTAGAAGACAGTTTTCAGTTAGAAAAAGAGAAGACATCTAGCGTTAAAGTGACGATCTTTTCCTTTCTGTGATTAAATGATACTGGGTCATCCTTTTACTTCCTGCTCCTCCTGCTCCATCCCCAGCTCTGCAGGTTTGGAGTGGGCTGTCACCTGATTTTGTTTACCCGTTTCAATTTAAAGACAGAACTCTTTATTTGAACACTGAAGCTAGCAGGGACTGTCCAGAGCTAGAGCTTCATATTAGCCTAGCTCATGTTGTCATCGTCAGACGGTTTTTCTACTTTGGATTGTTTTCTATTTGTATAAATACCTTGGAACCACTAGCTACACTGAGGGGTAGATATCAGAAAATCCGAACTTGCTGCGCTTATGAACACGGGGTCTCTTTTCACAAAGCAAAAGAATCCATCACTCTTGAGAAGGATGTACCAAAGGATGTCATTGAAAACTCCTCATTACCTTCAAATGGGGCGATGCACACACACGAGAAACAGGAAGTTAGCCAGGTTCACGTTTAGGAGAATCTATGATCATTATTGCTGTTTCTCTGACCTTACGTTAAATAGCGTCATTGCAATTGAAAAATGAGAACAGATGAACAGAGCCTGTGAGCATCCATCCTTTGTCGGCTATGCTGAGTCAGCGTTATTACAGGTTTTTCAAATGAATGGTGATACGTAAAAGTATTTGTCTTAGGATTCATTAACATTATCTTTTAGTCTTCGGTCAATATGAAGAAACACTCAGTAGTAAATCATAGCAACACGATTTAACATGAAATATAATTTGAAGGGTTCCTTAAGGCTGTGAAGTAACCATTAATCATGGTTTGCATTTTTCTGGATGAATATTATTTGTCTTTCTAGAATTAGACACCTTAGGTCAGTCTAATCAAGCAGCTGGTATCATTTGTCGGTTATTGTGTGAGTCCTAGCTTTATTTCAAACCCTGCGGTCCTAGAATTAATGTCAGCACAGCCATCGTGATATGCGTCCAGCCTCCTGGGCTGGAATAGGGGCTTACTGTCTTTTGAGGCCTTGGTCCTCGGAGTAAGCAGTGGGTGATTGAATTAGCAAAGAAGGCATTCAAAACATTCTCTGGGTTTTCAAGCTCAAGGAACCTGTGACTTCAGAGAAGCAGGCGATAAGTCAGGGTGCAGGGCATGTTTACCCCGTTGCCATCAGCTGTGATTGGTATAATATGATCCGGAAAAGTGGCCCAGGGATGTAACAGAAAACATGAAGTCAGTGATTGACACGGAAACATGAGTTAACAGGAAACACGTGTTACTCAAACGTGTCCAAGCCAATCAACAAACATAGCTTTTACATCATAGCTTTGAGGTTTTTTTTACCCGAAAACCACACTGGGGATGACTCCAGCTGTGGCTCATAGGGCGCTCTATTGTCATTTGGTTTGTGCCTCTGCTAATTTAATCTTCAATTTCCCTTTTATTGGCGATGCATGCACTCAAGGGGCATCAAGCCAGGGACACTTTGGTGACCCTCCCTATCCTTGGAGCCCCAGCCAGCTGATGGGGCGGGTACTGGTAGAATGGTGAACTGGTAGAAGCATCTGTGCTTCCACCTGTTAAAAATATACTAACAGACCGGGTGACATGGCTCACACCACTCATCCCAGCACTTTGGGAGGCCAAGGCAGGCAGATGATCTGAGGTCAGGAGTTTGAGACCAGCCTCACCAACATGGAGAAAACTGTCTCTATGAGAAATACACAATTAGCCGGGCACAGTGGCACACGCTTGTCATCCCAGCTGCTCAGGAGGCTGAGGCAGGAAAATGGCTTGAACTCTGGAGGTGGAGGTTGCAGTGAGCCGAGATCATGCCATTGCACTCCAGCCTGGGCAACGAGAGCAAAACTCTGTCTCAAAAACAAAACAAAACAAAAAAATTAATAATATCGCATATTGAATGAAACTACAACTTGTTTCTTTAATTTTGAGAGAGATTAATCCACATGATCTAAATCATACATTCTCATACATTCTCCTGCTTCAAAGCTTTCCCTGGTTCCTATAACCTTCTGGGTAACTATCCCCACCAAGCCACGTGTAAGACTTGCCACACACCCTCCTCCGTGTCCAGGCCCATCTCTCCTACCTCAGTCTGGCCCCCACTACCCAGCATTCCTCCAGTGCTTCACCTGCATTGAACTCCTCTGCTCTCTAGACTCAAGTCTCAAGTTGGCCCCTCCACACTTTAGCACATGCTGTTCTCTTCCTGGAATTCCCTTCTCCCTTTACTCTTGAGTTTTCTTTACCCTTTGAAGTCCACCTGCAATGCCACCTCCTCTGAGTCAGATCATGAGAGAGGCTGACTTCCTGGTGGAGGGAGAAATTCGTAGGTGGGATTTGTAATCTCATTAGGAGCCGTGCTCGGAGAGACTGCAAACAGGTAAACAGTGAGGTGGCGGTCAGTGTGTGTTTGGCTCTAGTATGTGGAATAGCAACTATGCAACCTGCTGCAGGGAAGACGGAGTGGGGCAGAGCATCCTGGCGGGGACTTTGGAGATGTGCTTCTCATACATGACAGGTTACCTAACCTCTCTGGGCCTCAGTTTTGTCATCTGTAAAAAGGGGTGGAAATTAAGGAGACCAGAAGTTAGAGCTTACGTGTCACATCCCTGATAAATATCTCTGTGTTGCTGTTCTAGCTGGTTCACTCTAAAAAGTGTCCCAGTTTAGACAATACATTATATGGTCTACTGATAGTTATGCCCTCCACACATGGGTGCCGTGAGGATTCAGCGTGTGCCATTCTCTTAGAACAGGACCCAATGTTAGTATTATTTCCATCGATATCTGAACTCAGTATAGAGACAGGACGATAAGCAATTTCCCAGGGTGATGTGCTTGGAGCATGACACTTAGGAAAAAGGTCAGAGGACTTTTCTGCCTCTTCAGTGTTTGGACCCAGGCCCAGGGACTGTGTTCCGCTGCTCTGTTCTGGGGCCCTGTGGGAGGGAACCTGTGTCCTCTCTCTTGCTCTAGGTCGACAGACAGCTTGTAGAGGTGCCTGACTGAGCTCCGTCTCCTGAGCCTACAACATGGAAATGCCCTGTTTCCTCCCAGCCCTTTATCAGACCACCTCAGCCTGCAGAATAAAAGCTCTAGGCTTCCCTTCTCCGTCTGGGATCAGATGAAGCTAAGGGTCCGCTCTCTTTCTCAGTGTCTCACCTATGGAATCAGCCCCAACCCACACTTCCAACCCAGTACTTCATGAAGCAACATCTTGCCAGATCCCCTAAAGTGAACAGGGGACACTTCCTCTTCTCACAGGCCTGGCACCGTGGTGACTTCTGACCATGATGGCTCCCTTGATCGAGCCTGACCCAGACTCTGCCACCAGGTGATATTCACTCCACAGCCAGGGCGCCTGACAGTTTCCCCAGTCACCACCGTCTCATGGCTTCAGTTTATACAGTGTCCTCTTCGGGGTCAGGGGGAGGACAGATGCCAATAGAAAACCCTCAGTACCTGCCTTAGTAGAATGCAGCCATGTCACTGGGTCCAGCATTCTCCTGTCCTTGTTTGGGTGCCTGGTGAAGTCCTTTTGTTCAAATTCTGATAGCCAGGGACCTCTGCCAGCTCCCAGAGGCCCTGGGAGATAAGCAGCCATGTCATGAGAAGAATTTGGACTCTGATAGCCTGGGGAATAAATGAGGAGTGAGTGGGCAGAGAAGAGCAAGGGGGTGATGGCCACAGAGTCCTTGGCTAGCCAAAGAAGTGACATTGTTGGTCATTGGCCGGGGGTGCTTGGGTGGTCTGCAACACATGAAAAAAGCACCACATTCCCTGGACTCTGAGCAAAGAGGGAGGTTAAAACCGAGTTGTGGGGGATGGATAGTAATTGCTCATCTGTGTGATAAGATAAGGTAGCCCCCTGCTGTAATGAAAATGCACAGCTAGTTCATGAAGTGAGGAATTAGCAACTGGGGACAACCCGAGTGACTGCCTATAGCAACATTCTCACGTATAGATGAGGAAACCGAGGCCCCGGAGACCTAAACCGACACTGCTGTTAGCCGGCGGTGCTTGGGCTGAAGCCAAGACTATCGAGTAATCATCAAGAGCGCCTGTACCACAGAACTGCTTCACTGGGGCCAGACACGACCTTGGACAAGTTGCTAAACTCGGGGACCTCTGTTTCCTTATCTGTCAGCTGAGGCCACAAGGACTGCGTGATCTCGCAGCTGCCTTCCAGAAACAACATTGCAGAATGCCCCGTTCCCCGTTCCAGCCCAAGTGCCTCTCTTCAGTCTGCAGGCACTTTTATCTCCCATGGTCTAGGCAGGGGGCATTTTTTTTGCCACAGTGGCAGAAATGGCTCATGCTGGAGAATGCTGCGATCTCCAGGCTATTGGTTTCTTCTGACCACAGTAAGAAGAGGAAAGGAAGCTTTCCCTCCACCTCACTCCTGCCCCAGCCTCATCCTCAGCTTCCACCTAAGAGACAGTGCTGGGAACTGGTGACAAGCAGATGTCTGGAGCTGTGTGACGTCTGTCCCAGCCCAGCTCTGTGGCCCTGCTACCTGGGGGACCTCTGGTGGTCATGGGGCCTCCTGTTGCCTCTCAGTTTCTCCATCTGTAAAATGGGGACAGTAGGCCAGGTGCAGTGGTTCACACCTGTAATCCCAACACTTTGGGAGGTTGAGGCAGGTGGATCATTTGAGGTCAGGAGTTCGAGACCAGCCTGAATGAACAATATGGTGAAACCTCATCTCTACTAAAAATAAAAATAAAAAAAAAATAGCCGGGTGTGTTGACATGTGCTTGTAGTCCCAGCGACTTGGGAGGCTGAGACAGGAGAATTACTTGAACCCAGGAGTCAGAGGTTGCAGTGAGCTGAGATCACACCACTACACTACAGCCTGGGCAACAGAGCGAGAATTTGTCTCAAAAAAGGTTGGGGGGCAGACAGTAATAGCACCTGGCTCAGGGGATTGCAGTGAGGACTGAACGTTAATGTGTGGAAGGCACTGAGAGCCTGGCCTGTAGAAAGGGCCACGCGAGTCTTAGGTGCTGTTGCTGTGGCTGTCGCATCGGTACCCATTCAATACTCGTAGAGGAGCCCCCCTTGATGACCGTGGCTAGGTACTGAGTTCCTGAGTGTAGCTGAGGGCTGAGGGCACATCTGCAATAGGATTAGCTGATCTGAATCGGACTCATGCAGCACTAGGCAACCTTCAATCTCCTTTTGAAAGGGGACCACCCCGAACCTTCCAGAAAAACGTTGCTTTTCCCGATTGAAATGATTCCCATGTAACCGCAGTCGGGAGCACAACTGGCCAAGATTTTCATTCACCACAGACTCAGTCCTCATTTCCGTCTTCCAGATCCCACCAGGGCAGATTAGGTGTCACATTGCATCACATCACGCCGTCCCATTACCCTGTTCACAGGCCACCCCAGAAACTCCCCACGGGAGACAGAAGCTAAGTTCTGAACTGTGACTCTGCCTCTTGGGGTTGACACTGAGACTTAGGCTGTTTCTCGCCCGCTTGCCCTGCCTTTCCCAGATTCCTGCCCCTCTCTGCTGGCATCTGGTCTCATGGCCAGATGACAGCGCCAGCTCTTTATACCTGAAACACATCATCAAGGCTAGCTGGGCTGGGGCTCTGCTCCCAAACTTCCTCTCCCTGCCTAGAAACCCGAAGCCCTGATGTGCAGAGCAAGGAGGAACTCTGCTCCCACGCCTGATTTTAATGAGGGACGGATGCATCCTGCAGGGCTCAGAGGTTCTGTTTCTCTAAATCCAGACCAAACGTGTTTGGGTGGCCTGGCCTTATAATCTCAGTAGAAGAATGTGCGTGCCACAGGCTGCAGAAAACAGTTTCCAGCGGTCTGTCAGCAGATGCCCACTCCAGAAGACAGGGGACATGGAGACCCACATGCTTCTAAGTGAGAAAATGAGTGGGTATTGAGAATCCAACTACACACATTTGGATTCTCAAACGCCTTGTAAACGTAAATGTTTTCCATCCACAATGTACTATATATGCCTAAATATAGGGCAAGCCCCAAATAGCGTATCCCCCATTTCCGTAATTAGGTAAATTTAACCCTCTTTTTCTTGCCAACTTAATAGGAATCAGAAGTATGGTTTGCCTTCGAGGTGGGGGGAGTGGGCAGTGGGCAATGACTGGCAAGGGACTGGTGGGAACTGTCCGGAGCGATGGACGTGTTCTGTACATTCATGGGGGTGGTAGTTATGGGTGATATCATTCATCAAACTGCACCCCTGCCATGCATTTTAATGAAAGTAAATTTACCTCAATAAAAAAAGTTAAATGAATGAAATATTCAACTGTTTACTTATAATGTTTAACCTAATCATGTGGTTGAATGCTTAAAATATTAGAATGATATATTAATCTATAGTACTCTTTCATTCTTATATTTCACAAAATAATTTTATCCAAATGTACATCTTCTGAGATTGATGGATGTCATTTATTTCTTTTTTTTTTTGAGACCGAGTCTCTCTGTGTCACCCAGGCTGGAGTGGAGTCTTGGCTTACTGCAGCTCCACCTTCTGGGTTCAAGTGATTCTCCTGCCTCAGCCTCCCAAGAAGCTGGGATCACAGGTACCACATCCGGCTAGTTTTTGTATTTTTAGTAAAGAGGGGGTTTCACCATGTTGGCCAGGCTGGTCTCGAACTCCCGACCTCAGGTGATCTGCCCATCTCCGCCTCCCAAGTGCTGGGATCATAGGCATGAGCCACTGCATCCCGCCGATGGATGTCGTTTCTTATCCACAGTTTTAGCCAGTAGTTCACCAGAACATATCATCTTCAGTTTGTGTAATTTCTTTGAAATGCAGAACTTCTTGAATCCGTGTTTGGTGCTGAAATGTGATTGCCACACACAGATGCCCACTTGCCCCGCACTGGAGCAGTTGTTTTTCTCATTTGTCTCGCAAGTGAATATTCATGCTGCTCACATAAGCAACTTACAGATTGCTTTCTAAAATGGGCTTTCAAATATGTATCGCAGCTTTCAGCCACGGCACCCAAGGAATAATCACCAAATCTTCATTAAAGCTCATTGCCGCCTCCTCGCTATTTCCCTCTAGTGACCTCTAAAATCATCCAGACCCAATGTTGATTGAGATCATTTCAGGCTAGCTAGTGTGTTTTCCCCAAATGTGGTGGTTCAGATAAAGTAATTGAGGCTGGATGCAGTGGCTTATGCCTGCAATTCCATTGCTTTGGAAGTCCAAGGCAGGCAGATTGCTTGAGCTCAGAAGTTTGAGACCAGCCTGGGTAATATGGTGAAATCACATCTCTACCAAAAAAAAAAGAAGAAGAAAAGAAACCAGCAAAACACAAAACAAAAAACTAGCTGCGTGTGGTGGCATGTGCCTATAGTCCCAACTACTCAGGAGATTGATAAAGGAGGATCACCTGAGCCCAGGAGGTTGAAGCTGCCATGAACTATGATTGAACCTCTATACTCCAGCCTGGGAGACCCAGACCCTGTCTCCAAAAAAAAAAACAAAAGTAATTTCTAAATTATTAGAGACTTTTAAAGGACAGGAAGTCCCAAACGGTGAGAAACTTTTATAGGCAGCATCCTCTTTTCTAATAGTTTAACTTGAGGAAATAAACCTTCACCTTATTTTCAGACATATATTGTAAACCTGGAATATATTCAGATCAAAGATGAAATAGAGATTAATTAAGCCAATTTTGATCATCTTGTTTTATCATTCATTATTATTAGATTAGCATTATTAGCTTGTTTGTTTCTTTTTGTAGCAAAAACTGACAAAATCTAATTAAACTTAGAGCTTCTACACAGCAAAAGAAACTATCAACAGAGAAAACAGACAACCTACAGAATGGGAGAAAATATTTGCAAACTATGCATCTGACAAATGTTTAATATCCAGCATCTATAAGGAACTTAAATTTGCAAGAATAAAACAACTCCATTAAATGAAGGGCAAAGGATGTGAACAGACACTTAAAGAAGACATACGTGCAGACAACAAGCATGTGGGGAAAAAAAAGCTCAGTATCACTGATCATTACAGAAATACAAATCAAAACCACAATGAGATACCACCTCATACCTGTCAGAATGGCTATTATTTAAAAGTCAAAAATTAACAGATGGTGGGGAGGTTTTAGAGAAAACAGAATGCTTATATACTGTTGCTGAGAGTATAAATTTGCTCAATCATTGTGGAAAGCAGTGTGGCAATTCATGAAAAAGCTAAAAGCAGAACTGCCATTTGACCCAGGATCCCATTGCTGGGCATATACCCAAAGGAATGTAAATCACCCTTTCCTAAAGACACATGCACAGGGACGTTCATTGCAGCACTGTTCAAAATAGCAAAGACATGGACTCAACCTAAATGCCCATCAAAGAGCTTGGATAAAGAAAATGTGGTACAGATAGACTGTGGAATACTATGCAGCCGTAAAAAAGAATGAGATCATGCCCTTTGCAGGAACATGGGCGGAGCTGGAGGCTATTATCCTCAGCAAACTAACACAGAAACAGAAAACCAAATACTGCATTGTCTTGATAAGTGGAAGCTAAATGATGAGAACTCATGAACACAAAGAAGGGTTCCCTTCTTTGTGTTGTTCAACAGACACTGGGCCTTCTTGAGACTGGAGGTTGGAAGGAGGGAGAGGAGTAGAAAAAAGTAACTGTTGGGTACTAGGCTTAGTACCTGGGTGATGAAATAATCTGTACCAAAAACCTCCATGACACCAGTTTACCTGTATAACAAGCCTGCACATATACTCCCAAACATAAAATAAAAGTAAAAAAAAAAAAAAAAAAAAATTTTGTTCCCTGCCTTGAAAAAAAGTTGAAACATTCTGGAACAAATTCAAATACACTATATTTTACAAAAGGGCATTATAGAATAGGGTAATTTAATAGATGCGTGTGGTTGGCCATGGATTGTAAGCATGATCCGAAATTAGGAATTACTAATTATTCATTTTCTGGTTTGACCTCACATCCTGTCTAGTCTTCAGCTACAATCAGTATGATACGATGATATATAAAGAAGACTTTGTTTTTTCAACAGTTCCTCAATTTAGACATCAAAAAGAGTGCTGTTCTTAAGGAAATCATCACCAAAGACTACACACCATTGTTTTGCTTCTATGACACTGTCACTCAGCACCATTGCCATTACTGTCAGAAGCAAAATCAAATCACTCACCAAGAGCTCGGCGAGAATGCAGGTCCCTCTCTGGCTCAGGGCAGAGGCTAGTCAGTTATATTTTTGGTAGCAAAACTCTGGTTTTAGAGTTGGACCGAGAGCAGTCCTTCTTGCTGCCCGTTCCCAGTCTCTAGGAGGACCTCTAAGGGGTTTTACAGCACCTTGGGGGCTTTCTGGAGTGGCTGAAAACATCCGGCAGCAGATCAGCCTTCAGGCTTAGTCCCAAGCTCCAGATCTGGCCTCTTGACTACATGACTGTTGGCCAGTGACCTAAGGTGAGCCTCATTTTCCTCATTCAGACAAGAATTGCTTGTAAGGGTGTTCTTAAGTGTGCTTTGGAAACCGTGGAGTGTAAGGCTTATTTTACTCAAGTCTTCCTGTTTCCTAGTCACATCTCATTTGCATGTGATGTGCCATCTCATCAATTATTGGGGGACCTAAGATTCACATTTTTTGTTATTGGGCCCTGTTGATGTGACAACTTCTGCTTTCAGCTTTTCAGCCATTGTTCTCCACTTCAGAATGGACGAGGAGCAAAGGTGAACTGGGGTTCTACCACTCCTGCCTCTGCAGTAAGAGGCTCCAGCATCACGATTCATTCTTGAGACTAACCCGTCTGACAGCCTCTTTTCATTTTCAGGTGGGCCAAGAGAAGGGAAACTGCTCTTTCCAGAAAAATCCAACCCCCTGCATCATCCCTCAAGAACAAGAAAACATCTTTCACACAATATTTGCTTTTTTCACAAAGTCTGGAAGAAAAGTCTTGGTAAGGATTTGCTTAGTGGCTGGGGTAAAATGGGTGGTCCTCACTCAGAACACACCACTTTTCTATTTGATATTTATTATTTCCTAAATCTGGTTTTAATCAATAGGCTTATAAAGGCACAGACTGTGGTCAACTCCTAATTTTCAGTCAGAGGTTTCAATCACAATGTTATATTTACATTCCAAATTCTATTACCTGGAAAAGGGAAAACCTTTGCAACCCACCAAGCACAAAGTAAAATGTTTCTTCAACTAGTGTGAGTCTAAACAAGAGTAATTATTCTTGTGCAAACATTTTGGGAAATTGTTTAGTAATGTATATTAAAATCATGTGTATCCATTCCAATCTTGAGTATATCCCCAGGAAAAATGAGTACTTGTGCCCCCCTGAAAAGACATGAAGAAGAATGCTCACAGAAATGTTAAAATAGCTGAAAACTAAGAACAGTGCAAATATTCATCAATAGGAGAATAGCTACATAATTGTGGTATATCCATATACTGGAATATTATACAGTAATGAAAAATAATGAACTGCTACATGAGTGAATCTCACAGACATAATATTGAGTGAAAGAAGCTAGAGACAAAAGCCACATATTGTAATATTTCACTTATACAAAGTTCAGAAATAGCAAAAACTAATCATAATGATAGAGGTTGGGCAAGTGGTTACTTTCAGAGGAATATGGATGAGATAGGGCATGAGGGAGCCTGCTTAGATGCTGGAGAGGTCCTACATCTTAAACAGGGTGGTGTTCCTCCAGGTATAAACACATGTAAAAATTTATCAAGACAGGCTTGGCACAGTGGCTCATGCCTGTAACCCCAGCACTTTGGGAGGCTGAGGTGGGTGGATCATCTGAGGTCAGAAGTTCAAGACCAGCCTGGCCAACATGGTGAAACCCCATCTCTACTAAAAATACAAAAATTAGCCAGGTGTGGTGGCGGGTGCCTGTACTTCCAGCCACTTGGGTGGCTGAGGCAGGAGAATCACCTGAACCAAGGAAGCAGAGGTTTCAGTAAGCCAAAATCATACCACTGCACTCCAGCCTGGACGACAGAGCCATATATATATATATATATATATTTTGAGATGGGGTCTTATATATATGTATGTATACACACACACATACACACACACACACAAAGACATACACTTCAGATTTATTCTATGATATTTGTTATACCTCCATTTTTTCAAAAGTGACGGTATTGAAGATGGAATGGCAATGCTTTTCCAAAGCCTCCTCTTTTTTTAGTCTTTGGTTGTCTTTCCCTAGGCTTCTTATTTCAGCCCCCGCTCAACTCATGTTTATCATTTCCTTT